GACACTTTAATCAGAACCCCAGAGGCCATTCTTTCACAAAGCTCAGAAAAGAAGGCTATCTTGTGATAGACATAAACAGATCGTCTCTGTTTCATGTCTCATCCATGACCCCAGACTTTTGAAGCAGTAGATCCGCACTCCAGCGTTCTTCTTCTTCTTCTTCTAGTGTCTGTGAACTTGTGCCAGGCCGTGCTAAGATCACACTGTCGGACTGGGATGTAGGTGGATGGTGATCTATGATTTTGAAGGAAAATGGACAGAAGGCTCGAGTGACAGGCACCAGAAAAGTTTTTTTTTTTTTTTTTGATGAACTATTGAGGTCGGGAATGAGGAAAGTGGAGCAAAACCATAGTGATTTCATCTTGAAAGTCCATGAGATTCTTTTGGGATAGCTGGATGTCTTTTCATGAAAATCCATGTGTGAAAAACAACAGTGAAAGCAGTGGATGTGCTCTGTGAAGATTTTAAGCAATAAGCAGGTTCTTGTTTTGATTGGTTCACAGCTTTTGGCTGTTTGTACACTAAGTCTTCTCTGACTAACACAGGAGCTGCTTTAATCTGAGTTTACAACATTATTTGGTCCATCACTTTGGTCCAGACTGAAATAATAACACCTATTGGATGGAATGCCATGGAAGTTTGTATGTTTTTGGACTTTCCTGATCTCCCAGGGATGAATCTATTGTTATTTCCCCCAGCAGGTTGAGATTTTTGGTTGTAACTGAAATGTCTTAACACCTAGTGAATGGATTGCCATTAAATTTGGTGCACACATTACTGGTCTCCAGAGGATGGATCCTAATGAGTATGGTGGCCCCCTGACTTTCCCTCTATCTCAACATCTACTTAATGGATAGGCACAAGAGTTTGTGCAGACATTCATGGTTCCCAGAGTGAATGTGAGGAACTTGGTGATCCCTTACTTTTCATATAGTGCCACCATGAGTTTAACTTTTGTGTGTGTGTGTGTGTGTGTGTGTGTGTGTGTGTGTGTGTGTGTTTAATATCTCAACAACCATCGAACTGCCGTGAATTTTCTAACAAACATTATTGGCCAGCTCAGGATGAACTGTACTTACTTTGTTGATCTCTAACTTTTCGTGTAGTGCCATCATCAGGTAATATTTTTAATGTATTAGTGGTGCAGTGGTGCAGTGGTTAGCATTCTCACCTCACAGCAAGAGGGTTCAAAAAACATGCAGATAAACTGATGACTCTTGGCCATAGGTGTCAATGTGAGTATGACTGGTTGTCTTTCTGTATAGCCCTTTTTAAATAGGAATTGTGCAAATCTGCAAGAAAGCCCAATCAGTCTTCATTCAGCATTGGCAGTATAAAAACAAAATGGGGAGTTCAGCAAAATGCCGCCTGCCTACTTTTGTTCATACAGAATGTGCATTTTCTGGGGCAATGGGGGGCGTGAGCAAGTAACAAAATGTGTGGCTCAGCATGTGACGTAAACGGTGGCATACAATACATGCCGCAGCTGGTCAGTCCTTTGGCGATTCTCTCATAAGTTGGCCCGTCCTTCACCGTTCCCGTCATTTGATGGTTAATGGCCTCTTCGTTTGCGAGGGCAAGGAGGGCTCGCAATTCCTTGTCTCCCCAGATGCTCATCTTTACAGTGTCTTTCAGGTTTGTGTTTCTCTCTTGCTACTAGCTGCTCATTCCTGCTATCAGCTGTTTCCTGTTAGTCTACCGCCAGTGGGTCGCACGTGCGGCGTCATCAACAGCTCCTCCCACAAGACATCAACAGCCACTCCCGTGGTGATAGGGCACCGCATTCTTTTTAAACCAAAAAGGTTCCGCCAATATGTTTACCCCTACACAGCGGAAAATTGGGCACCTTGGATCAACTCACCAATCCGGCTCTGTGTGTCTAAATGCTTGCAGCTTGCCTGCAAAACAGCAGTGTAAAAAGGGCTTATGTGTCAGCCCTGTGATAGTCTGGTGACCTCTCCAGGGTGTACCCCACCTCACGCCCAATGTCAGCTGGGATAGGCTCCAGCCCCCCACAACCCATAACAGGATAAGCGGTTACAGGAAATTAGTAAATTATTTTAGTGTATGACCAAATACCTTCAAAACCAATGGCATTCCCATCAGCCTCAGCTATGTTTTGTGCTAGTGCTAATTAGTAAATGTTAGCCTGCCAACATGCTAAACGAAGAGATGAACATAACTATTATACCTGCTTAGCATTAAGATGTTAGAATTATGCTTGTGAGTATGCTAACATTAGCATTTGGCTCAAACTGCACCTTCACAGAGTTGCTGGCATAGCTGTAGTCTTTTTTTTGTGATGCATGATATTATTCCCAAGTGAACACAACAAAACACACATTAGAGTAAATGACACTGTTTATTTATCACCACTTGACCTGTGCATATGTATGTGTGAAATTAATTTTTCGCCTCACTATGTATTGTCTGTTGATGTCCATATGTATCTGTGTATACCTCTCCTGTATGACTGTAAAACCTTTGATCTCAAGCTCAATTATGTTAGTCCCTCCTTCCTTTACATGAACACATATTCTGCTAGAAAAATACACAACAGGCCAAACAACTCAACTGGGCCCTATTTCAGGAAGCAGGTTCAACAAACTCTGAGCCTAATCCCGATCTTCGGGTTGACTGAGCCTGAGCTGTGAAAGTTTTCAGTTCCAGAACAGCTGATCACAGTCAGCTCAATCAACTCTGAGTATGTTCAGCCTGAGAGAGAAACGTTCACGGCGAGCACTGAAAGACATCATCAGTGGAATGCAGATAACGTGATATTCAGTGGCCGAAAGCAGAAAGCCGCTTGTTTCATCCCAGCTGAGTTGGAGATTTTAATGACCGCGAAATTAAATAAAAAAACAAAAAACAAAACTAACACGTCAGCTGCAGCTAAACAGCATGAGGTGTGATGAGAACAGACTGCAGTGTGTTAATAGGTAATGTGAAGTGATGTCATGTAATGTGATGTGTTAATGTGTCTAATATAGCTACAGAAAATACAGAAACATTACACAGAGTTAATATATTTTAATATAATTTGCTGTATCATCTTATTCACCTGTAATCTGATGGAGCCCAAAGACACTGGGCAGCATCAAACACAAAAATGTTGTAGCTAACAGACCGGTAAAAGTTTTGCTTATACTTTCTTAATTCTGTCAATATTAGGCTGAGGTTAATTGAATTGCTGAACTGCTGTGAAATGACTTCTGATTCACGTAATCTCCTTTATGCTCTGATGGAGCTATTATGGGGTGTTGAGTCCCGTAAATGAGCCAGTTACACCGCGAGATCTTTGAATATATGAAAAGTATTCATGAATCATTGCATCATTAGCGTAGCCTAGATTAATCTCTGATTAACACTGACAAACCTGCAGTTCTGTGGAATTCCTCTTTTTTAAGATTATTTTCGGGGCTTTTGTTGCCTTAAATGGCGAAACAGCATAATGTTGAGGGAGAGAGGGAACGACCCGCAGTGAGAGGCTGTAGGCTTGGTTTGAACCCGCGGCTGCTGCATCAGCGTCTTATCACGGGGCGTCCACTCCATCCACTAGGCCACCGATGCTCTGTTGCAAATACTTTGATAATCAATTCTGATTTATGTCCAGCGAAAACCACAAAAAAGGGGCAAAAGTCTTTTCAGAGTCACTTTTCTTACGGCCCAACAAACCGCTGTCTCTCTGATGTGTTCAATGTCTCTGATGTTTTAAAGAAAACTGCCGCTGCCGAAAAATCAAAGGGCAGTGCATAAAATTTGCTCCGATGATAATGTAAATCCACGGTGTGTAATATTTGATATATCTGGGTGGAACAGATTGTTAGATAAATGAAAGACTGTGAGGTCAAACTGTAGCCTATCTTTCATACAGACACTGTGCCCCAACATCCACAACTTAATTCACTAAAGGACATGCCATGTCTCTCCTTCCTGCTACACGCCCCTGCTACAACCTCCGAACCAGCAGGTTTGCTTCACAGAGTAAGTTGCCATAGTAACTAACTCCGGGTTTGGCTGAGCTGGCTTTGTGAAACGGAAAACTCAGTGTTTCCCTCATCTCAGGCTCGACATACTCAGAGTTTTCACTAATCTTGCTTTCTGAAATAGGGCCCTGGTGTCTTCGCTACACACAACAAGGCCCAGTGTCTGTTAATGGTGAAAAGTAACAATCAAGTAAGAACATTAACTCAATCCATGGTTGGTGTGAAGGGGTTGCTCTTTAGGCATAAGCACTCCTCCTCATTTGAATTGATACAAGTCTTGATTTTGTAGCACTTCGTATTATTAGATTGACTGACATTATGAGGTGTAGAAACTAACCAATGGTTACACAGTTTTAGGAAGAAAGTATATTGTGTGTATATATCTATCTATCTACCTATCTATATATATANATATATATATATATATATATTTGTATATATCACACATATAGTTATATATAGATTTATATTCATTTATAAGCTTTTTAAAATAGCACAGTAAACACTTTGCACACATGATAAAAACCACTGAGTGTGTCTGATTGTTTGTGTATCGGCCAATGTCGTCAACAGAACCACGTCACTTTCTTTACTGTCAGCTCAGGAAGGAACTCGAGAACTGTTAGTCACTAGTTTAGAAATGAGAACATTCATTTGTGATATTTTATTGATAAACTGCACATTGTTTGATTTCTTTTTGTCTATGCAGTGTATTTGTTAAAACTACAGAGGACTGAACCCGGCTCCAGACAGCATGTTCCTATCTGTAACGTTAAGTAGGAATACTTTAGTCTGCACATTTTAACCACGCAGAAAGAACAACAGAAACAAAAAAGAGAGGTTATATAAAGACAGTCAATTAAAAAAAATGGAGATTCAGAATTTATAGTACTGCACATCATCTCTGCTCGACCCCTCTTCCTTCTTTTTTTCACATCATTTTATACTCTGTCTCAGTCCCGTGCTTCCTCTCTGGCTGTCAGTCTCCATAACCCCCACCCCCCCACCCCCACATAGTCTCTGTACAGTTGGCTTAGTGGTGACCATAGAAATAGCTAAAGGGTTCCGTGTGACATTGGTTGACGTTTGTACAGAAACATTTGTATTTTTCTTCATGTAAACAGGCACACACAGAGATCTCTAGAGGCTAACTCCTTAGTTAAAACAAAACCCACCTTTGTGAGTTCATCGGCCCCTCTCCTTGTTTTGTATTCCTCTGATTGTGTCAGTTCCTCTCCATCTGTCTGCTGATGACTTTATAATTTTCACATGTCAAGTATTTGGGCCCTGGTCTCAGTCCTGCTGAGAGGAATAAGGCCTTGGATTGCTCCTCAGATATCTAGAGGTTTACAGCTACTCAGTATTTAGTTGTCCTCTGCTCCCTCGGCGACCACTGCCAAGGCTTCGTTACAGTTCGCCACCCAAGATAATGATGCTTAATCAAGGTTGCTGTTGTCCAGGTTGCTGTTTGTGTGGTTTTATGTCGCTGTCTCCAGCATCAGTGTTGGTGGTCTAGCACAGAAATTCACGCTGTCTCCGACAGGTCAACGTGAAATGAGCTAGCAAATCCTTTTGTGGGCTGAAAAGACAGAGAACACTTGTTAAGACAAATGGCACCCCGTCCCTTGAACCTCTTTAGTAACACAGTTGGCTCAAAATACCATCTCTTGAATGATACATGCTACTCTCTGTGAAGTTACTTATATACCCTAAAGGCTGGTCCGCACAGTGTAATGGTGAAACAATTTGGGAATTGGGTTAAAATTTGTCCATCAGTGAAGATAAATGTTCAAAATTTGGTGGCTACATAATGCATGCATAGAAAATACACAGAGCACTAATTGCTTCATTAATTATCTATAAATGGATCATTAAACATTTATAAACCCTTTATCAAGGCAACCTTGGTGATCAAAGCATTGCCAAAGCTGGTAGTAGCATACGGTAGCCTACTATTTTTAAAAGTAGAACATGATGCCAATTAGTTAATAGAGTCTCAGCCTCTGGAACTGTTTCATCTTTTTTACAGACTGATGAACAACAGGACCTTTGCTGTGGCAACCTGGGGTCTATTTATTTTAAAAGACCAGGAAAAATAGGTGAAATTGTAAATTAAAAAAAAAAAAAAAAGCGTTGAGCATTTCGGACAGTGCAAATATGGAGTGCATTTATCCAGACATGATGAGCAGTTGCGCAGGCAGCTATATTTGGAGCAAAGCAGGCTCTAGCCCCTACAGGCTAAATACAAATGATCTTTCACACAGACCTGATGTGCAAGAGAAAGTTTGCTTGGCTCTGTTTGCTAAGTTGTAAACAAGGAAAAAAAGAGCAGTTAACAGTCATCATGGTTTACCTGCGAAACAGCCCACAGTCAGCATGCAGTATCATGGAGGATGGTGGTTAACATGGTGGTGACTTGACTGGAAATGACTTGTCTACTTAATGTGTATACCGAATCCACTCTCTACTCTTAGAACTAATAGAATATTCATGTAATGTGGGAGCTGGAAAAGCAATTGACATCTGCAAGATGTCCTATTCTGCTTCTTTAGAAATGCAAACTGCAATTCAATTTTATTCCAATGCATATCGATATGTGTCATTGGCCAAATTAAACCCTTCTCATATTGGAACAGTTTCACTCCTTTCTTGTACACAAACTTGTGTGCGTGACTTTTCCAACTGAAGAATCTTGACCTCAGGGTTACAGAACACCTCACCCACCCTCCTTTATGTCAGGTATCGATCCTCAAGCAAGAGAGTATAGATACTCAACACTTCTTTTTTTAGAACAAAATGGACTTCAATCCTTGTAAAAAAGAAGCAGCGTGGGTTGTGTGCTTTACCTTTCAAGCTATTCAGTAGGGAAGTCATCATGCTTGAGCAAAACTCCACGGTTGAACTAATGGAAAAGGATGTCCTTTGCAACATGATATGATCCAGCTTTTTCCTCTCTATATGCTCAAATTATGTTTTAAACTATAAACAACACTTCATTGTAGGTATGTGATGATATCGAGAATACAAATGTTGGATGTGCTTGTGTTGGTTACTTTCATGAGCATCAGATAAAAAGGCTGATTGGTGAGGATTTTTTAGCGGAAATTTTGAAAACAGAAAAGAAGGAAAAGGGGCCAAAGAAGTTCAACATGAGTCCAATTCAATTTATTATATATAATAATATAATTAGGGTTAGGATAGGGTTAGACTGAATTTTTCAAAGTGGGTTTTGGAAAAGGGGAGTTAGCAGTAATAGATTACATTTTACATTTGACAAAAGAAATGATAATTTACAAAAAAACAAAACATCACAATTTTCAAGTCGTATTTATAGAACTCCTTAAAAAATAGAAGAATGAAAGTTGATGAACAACATAAAAAGTCCAGATCAGAATCAAAAGGCAGATTTATGGTCCTCTCCTTTAGTATCTGTACTGGACCAGACCAAAGTCATAGGGTCCCAGTGAACTTTGATACTGATACTCACAGAGAAAGGAGGGTTTGTACGGTAGGGTCCCCCTATCATACTCTTTCCTCTCTAGCATGCTGGAGCTGTACTGCTGTTGTTGCTGATGGAGGTGATGGTGAAGGCAGTGGTGTGACTGTGACCTTTGACCGTCCTTGCCAAAGGTGAAGAATGACCTATCGTTGGACGAGACGGTAGACGAAGTCATGGTGAGTTGGTCGGAGAGGTTGACAGAGGAGGGTACCTCAGTGTCAGGCAGTGTGGCGTCCATGCCAGGGACGTGCAGGTTGCTGCGGTAGTCTGGCCCCTGGTGCCCGTCGGATGGCACAAAGGATGGCATCCAGCAGCGGTCAGAGTGGCCTAGGGCCTTGCACTCCTCTGTGCAGTTAGAGAAGAGGTCAGTGCCTGCAGAGAGGATGCAGATCAGCGGATGGAAAGTTGAAGAAGGATGATGCAGGGAGAGATGGAAAAGTGGATATGTAAATGGAAGATTACAGAGATGTAAGGGATGATAAGTAAGGGGGGAAAAAGAAGAGGGAGCATGAGAGGAGGAGCGGTGCGGATATTTGAAGTGGGAAGGCGAGATGGAGGAGGAGATGAGAAAAGAGACCAGAAGAGAGAAGAGAAGTTAGCAATCATTTGCCAATGTTGCAAGCAGAAAAAGTGCAGCAAAAGTTTTTCATCAGAGAGACAATGCCACCATTGATGAAGCGAATTGTTTGTTTTCCTCCTTACCTCATTCATTCAAAATGAAATGTGCAATCAAAGTGATGTGGTGTTGCGAAAACATTTCACCTCCTCTCCACATCAGCATCCTCAGACTCACAATTGATTCCCAAACACCAAGAGACAAAATGTGAATCTATATTCCATCATCCTCACACACACAAAAAAATGACTATTATCTTAAGAAATGTGGGACAAAAACCTAGAAAATATTCACTGACTTCTCAATCACTAATGACAGTCATCCCTATACAAACTCACAAAGTGTGTGACTGACAGAATGACTGCCAACAACAAAACATTAACATAAAAAAGATTAAATTAACATCTGAAATGATATAAAAGAATAACACACACACTCATGCAAACACACAATCTGCATGAAAGGTACTAGTTGTGCTAATTCATCTTTCACATAGAATAAAGAGAGGAGGATGGGGGTGGGGCAGAGAGAGGCATATGAGATTATAAAAAGAAAGAGAAAGGGACAAGAGACTTAAACAGATTCATCACTATAATGAGACTCTGCAGCCATTTGGTACTCATGGCTCATTGGATTTGTACAGTTTTCCTAGAGGGGCCATGTGAGAAAGGGTTCGAATGGCAAAATCAAAGCAAAAGAGAGGAGGAAAGCGATACATCAGTAAAGAGAGGCAGAAAGAGAGGGAGATAAACACAGCAAGTGGACAATGTGTAATTTCCCGAGGCTGAGGGCTTCAGATCAAAGACATTAGACTCCATTAGACTCCACATACACCAATCTATTCTACTGATCTGTTCCACTGATAACGCTACAGTTCCATGATTACTAAAAGCAGGCATGTGCGCACACAGCAATTTAATGTAAGCGTATCACATATAGCATATCACATTTCACACATATCAACAGATATTAGGATAAGATAAACATATATATATACAGTGGTGGAAAAAAGTTTTCGGACACCCTTAAAATTTTACACAATCTCAAATATTATCATGAAGTATTTATGGAAAAATCTTTTTTGTGTTTCAAAAGGTGTGGCTGCATTAGACAGATACAAATACAAATTATATTTTTTTGTTTATTGTTTACAAGAAAAACTAACAAAACTAAATTCTTGACAGTTTCAATATGTCAGTTCTCAACATTGTCGGTATCAAAGTCAACAAATAACAGAGAATGTGTTCAAAACTGAACAAAAAATAAATAAACCATCACATCATCAAATTAATATTTAGTAGTCCTGCCATTGGCACGTAGTAGAGCTCTAATCCTGGCTGGCATGTTCCCCACGAGCCTTTCACACTGTTGAGGGGTAATCTTGTCCCATTCTTCTTGAATTACTGCTTTTAATTCTTCTAAATTCTTTGGTTTATGCTTTGAAACAGACCTTTTGATAATCCACCACAGATTTTCAATGGGGCTCATGTCCGGGGATTGAGCTGGCCACTCTAAGACCTGGATACTGTGCTCCTGCAGCCAAGTTCTACTGGCCTTGGATGTGTG